AAAGAAGGTAAAGAGCATTGGAAAAACAGTTCTCCAGAGCTCAGCAGCAAGCAGAACAGGAGAGATATTCCTCCTCCCTCCATCCAGAGCCTGGTTGTACCCACCCTCAGCAGCCATTAGTACAGGAGTTGCCTGCAGCTCCTGGAGCTTGGTCACCAGAGGGAGCTAGCAGGAATTCATCCCATCTGCAGAGATTTCCCTTTGATTGCATGATCCCTAGTCCTGCAGACTTACAGGTCAGAGACAGAACTAGGGTTCCAGAGGCTACCTTTGCTCCCATGGCAGCAGGTCCATGCTCAGCAGATAGATTGGCCCCAGAGTTATCTGATGAGATTAAAGTCCTCATCTCTCAGGCCATTTCTCAAGGGGTAGCTCTACCCTGAGGGGGAGGAGCCATCCATCTTCCCTAAGTTCTGATCCTCAAACATTGCAATATCAGGCAATTGCAGTGCAATATCAGGCCTCCATGAAATCCCTTAGGCCCCAGAGGGCTACTTCTCTGGCCCACTCCATCAGAAGAAGGGCATCTGGGATGGAGGAGGAAGATCAGTGTTCTGACCCAAGCCTCATTCAAAGCATACACCAAACAGAGATAAAAGCAAAACCTTTTTAATGCTTTTCTCTGAATTCTTTTCATTCACAGTAAAACGGTATTAAAAATTAATTGTCCCAGATAAGAACAAGCCTTGCCAAGGTTGTGCAAAGCTGCCAAGAACACTCGATTAAATTGCAAGGAAATAATCAAAACCAAAAGTTTAAAAACACAAACCAGGATAGTCTGAACTTCCACAAGACTTGAAGTGCAAGAACTTCTTTGCTTCCTGCACCACCTTTGAGGGCTGGTTTTTATCCCTTAAGGGAGGGGCCATCACCTTGCAGCCTTACTCCCGAGTCACCCATGCTGCTGCAGTTGCTCTTTGAGCAGCCCTGCACACACGTGCACTGGGCACTGGCTCTTTGGGGTCCTCTGCATCACTGCTGCCAGCCTGCACAAGCTCCAAATGCAGCACTCCACTCTCTGATAGCCTTGGCCCCATCTCTGCATCACATGCAGGCCCCTCATCTGAGTCCCCGTTCTCCGAGACCTCAGCCGTCCGCATCTGCTGCCGTGAACCACAACAGTCAGGGAGAGCAAGGGTCCTCAGAAGATTAGGATTTGTCCCCTGATCCACCCTGTCCATGGGCCTAGTCAGTCCGGGGCTGTTAAATCTCTCCTCCACAAGGCTAGGACCACTCCCCAAATTGATCCTCAGCCTAATGTTCCAGCTGCTTCACCTGAAAATCAGGGTCCCAACAGCAGGTTTTTTCCAAACCTACTGTTCTACAACAGAAAATCCCTTGCCCCAAGTTGTTTCTGGATATAGTTCATAGGCTATGTTCATGGATGCAGCCAGGATCCTTTCCCACCCCAGATGGTAATGATAATTTTTTTTAATATGGCTCCTCTCCTTACAGAGTCACTACAACTGCCCCCTTTGGACGACCCTTTGGCATCCCTGGTCTCTCCCTCTGCCATTTCCAGCGACATAGCAGAGGCCCTTAAGACAGAGGATAAATAAGAAGGCGGAACAAAATTTCCGCAGCTCTCACCAGGCCAATGCCTGGGTGATCAAAGCAGTAGCAGCCACTTCCTTTTTCACTAGAACATCCCTTCTCTGGCTTCGCCAATTACAGGCCAGGATTCCCTCAGAGGATATCAGAATGCATCAGGACATAAATACATTGGTGGCGGTCACTGAATTTGTGGCCGATTCTTCCCTGCATGCAGCCCAATTTTCTTCCAGGGCTCTGGCATCCAACATTACTTCTTGTTGTCTGCTATGACTGCGACATTGGCAAGCAGATGCTAGAACCAAATGGAAAGTGGCCTCAGCTCCCTACATGGGTTCTTTCTTATTTGGAGAGGCCTTACATTCCTTCCTAGTAGAAAACAAAGATAAACGGAAGGTGTTCTCTCTTAACAGGAGGGCTGATAGAAGGGCCTCTCCTTACACCCGTAGGTAGCCATTTCGTTCCTCAGAATCAGGTCAGGCATTCTCACAATTCCAAAGGTCTACCAACCCAGATCATATCGGCCTCCAGATAGATCAGGATTCTGAGATAGAACTAGAGAACAGTTCCAATCCCTTTCATCGATCCAAATGACTGCCGGACCCCTCCCCCCATTGGCAGCCAGCTTGCCCGTATTTGCAGACCGATGGGAGGCCATCACATCATATTCTTGGGTCCTGGAAACTGTGCGATTCGGTCTCACCCTGGATTTTCTGTCCACTCCTCGGAGGACGTTCACCCATTGCCCAACCTCCAAAAATCCTTTAGGAAAAGTGTTATCTGGACAACATCATTATCCAGTCCAGTTTCAGCCAACAAGCCAGGTCAGACCTGGCCTCCACAATGCGGGTTCTACAGGAACACAGATTTTCCCATCAACTTCCAGAAAAGCCAGCTAGTTCCATCCACTCACATACTATATTTAGGTGCAATGATAGATATCAATCTATGCGAGGTTTACTTGTCTCAGGAGTGCCAGGACAGCATCAAATCCTTGGATTTTTTTTTTCCATTGAATCTTAGAATGAATGTTAATTTATAATAAATTCCAGTGTAATTTGACCACTGCAACAAAGGCCATTTTTCCTTGTGTTAGACTGAATATTCTCCAAAGAGCTTTGGTTTGAGACTTCCCGCCCCAAATCTCCACCCCATGGAATATAAAAGCAAAAGTAGAGCAGTCTGAGACACCAAAATAATGGTTTTTGATTAAATGCAAAAGGATGCCAGAGACCATTTCTGGAAATTATTGTGTAGAATATTCCAAAACTGAAATGCCAACATAGAAGAGCTTTTCCTATAACTATCTGGCATAATAATTGTTTGTAGTCGTAGAGTTTGGGGATATCCAACTCCCAGATAACAATTACAACATTTAGAAAGGCAATTGCTATCCTCTTACTCCAATTTTATTTTCTTTTTTTCCCATTTGACGTTTTTTGAGAATGGCTTCTTATGTAGTATCTAATTGGTTAGTGTCTGTTGACTAATGGTATAGAATGTATAGAATAATTAAAGCCATGAGTGCAGTGTAGGAATTTAATTTGGATGGTTGTTCTTGATTGTATGAGACAACAATGGTATTCGTACTGCATCTCATTATTACTTCCTAGTTAGCTATCTGGGTTGTGTTTTTTTTTAAATAAACTTTTATTGATAGTTTTACAAACAACATACAAACTACTAAAAAGAAAAAAGCAGAAATGATAGAAAAGAAAAAGAACAAAAAAGACAAAAGTGCAGAAATGCAGGAAGAAAAAAAAAATCAAGCTCCCACTTTGCAGCAAATTTTAATTATGGCTACAAAGTTATCTCTTGTTCTATTATTATAAAAGAAAATTCATTCCTTTCTGTTACCTAGCTTTTTTCTCTACCCATCAAAACCATTTCCCCCATTTTATACAAAAAACCTATAAGGGGTTTCTGGTTTATCATAAATATATATTTTTTATCTAAGCAAAAAAAATAATTTAGTATCTCTGCAAGTTGCATTATCTTCGCCAATCTAGTTAACTATCTTTTAAACTGTTGAACAAGAAAGATGATTCAGTTAAGTCATCTATTGAAAGGTGTACTGTCCATGCAAAGTTTTGATTACATTGGCAACATTTTGCATTACTTTCTATTCTGTATTGCTCCACTTATTTCTGTACTTAATTTTTTTAAAAAAATTCCCAGTCTGCTTCAATATTGTGTACTTGGGCCATGCTGCTTCCTGCTACATCCCCTTTTATTTTCTTCCTTGTTGCAGAAATAGAGTAGGTATGGTACTATACTGCATTGATAATGTAACATAATTTCCTGATATAAGGTGGTAGCTGTACCAGATGATATTTCATAGAAAACCAACACTACATATATATAGTTTTACATTTTTGTGTTCATGTTTGAGTATGAATGTATGTTTCTATGTACATATGTGCCCTTACATTATTTTTTGGGAGATGTTTATTGGGACATTTTAACCTTTATTCTCCTTTCTCTCGTTTTCTTTCTTATATTTTCTTGCTTTTCCTACACATAATTATATACATAATTACTGCTGGCAAGATAACACCTACAGCTGCTCTGTGAAGGAACCCAGCCAAGGCTGACAATATTCCTATGCAGCATTGATTGCCAAGTCACCAATATATACTTGTCAGCATTTCTTTTATTTGTTTGGCTTCTGACTCCAACTTTTTTAATATGTTAGCATATTGTAACTGATAACAACATTGGGAATTTTATCAAGTGCAGCTTGGTCAAGTCTTTGTATTTTATGTAACTGATAACAGGGTTGGCAATCATAGGCCTTTTAGGCATGTTAACTGCACTTACATTCACCTGTAATTTATCCTTGTTAACGTTTTACCTTTTTCTGCATTTACCAGTGTCAATGAAACTGTTGCCCAGATTTATTATTATTGTTGTTATTGTTTATCCCAGAAGCTTTTCTGCTCTATGAGAGGAATCTGTTCTCCCAGAGGAGTAGGACTACTTACATTTTGTCTACTTCTTGCGGATATACTTGTTTCCAGCTATGTTTTATTTGCGACATGACTAGATGCCAATGAATTCAGGAAATTGAATTTTTATGCCAGCATAATCCACCCTTGACCAGCCCAGTGCTCCCATGTGAACTCAAATTAACTGCTCTATTTGAAAGAGCTGGAGGTGGATGTTCAATCCCTTTCTAAAAAAATTCAAGTGCATGTGTTCTGTTTTAATAGAACTTTGGTAGTTTTTCATTACAAATTTATTATTTTTCAGGTGCTGAGCAACAGCGGATAAATGTTGCTCCCTCTTCAGAACCTTTTACTAACTGGAGATCTGTATTATCACCAACATGGCCTTCTAAAGAACTTGAGTCTTCCTCAGTGGGTGACATTTCAATGAGGCAAGCCTTGGAGAATGCTAATTTGCTTCAGATAATAAAAAGTACATTAGCGGGAACTCGGACCAGAACTATGGATCAAACTAGGCTTTTACCAACTCTGTATCAAGGCAGTGGCAACAGTGCATCGCAGGAACCTTCTGAGGTATCAACTGAATCACCAACGAAGCGTCAGGAAGCTGATGAAATGACTATTGTATCAGGTTTGCCTCAAATTAGTGTGGCCCCTGCATTGTCTACATCATCATCAGTGACACATCCAGCTACTACTTTGTCATCTCAGATAATTCCATGTACAACATCTTCCATTTCAAGTGAAATCACATTGAGATCAAACATATTTCCAAACTTTCCATTACCATCCCCTTTGTCTTTGATAAAGGATATACCTCATATCATTGTTGTTTCCAAGCCGTCTGTGTCATCTACCAAAATGCCCTCGTCCATAAATGTGAAACATTTATTCAGCACAAACACAGCTAAATCTAATTCAAATAAAAAATCAGGTAATTCACCGAGCACAACAAAATATGTGTTACCTAGAAAGGTTGGCAATGAATCTTGGGTTGCTACCTTCTCTTCTAGTTATAATTTTGAATTGATTAATAAGCATCCCATAGAAACAGCCAAGAGAGATATATATCAAAGGGATAGGAAATGGCATCCATTTGCTTTCCGTGCATTAATACCCAGTGAGGTTTTTGATGTACTACCTACTCAGAAAGCTGCACTGAGTTTTAGAAAAAATAATTTTTTTTCTGAATTAATTCATAAAGCATCTTCTACCCCACCATTTACAAGTAAACCAATGGACATCATGGAAAAAGGCAGCATGTTTGTAACCACATCATACCCAATTCTTAAAAGCAGGAAAACAATTCCATGGATTTCTGCATCAGATCTTCATACCTCAGGTGCTCTGTATTCATTATCAGAAACCATTACTGGTGTGTCCTCTATGATAATATCAAAATCTACAGGAGAGAGAGCATTAACATCTCCTGAAAGTCAAAAACTTTCTCATTTGACTAATACGTCTTCCTCAACAGTGCCAACTCTAGTTATTTCAGAAACAATAAGAAAAGATAATGCAATAGCGCAAATACCAACATTGGCAACTGTTCCCAGCTCCCATTCTACAGATGAGGTTCCTTCCTTGATTATGAGGTCAAACTGGCCACCTTACATAGCAGCTGATTCTACTGTTTCAACATCAAATTCTAACTTTGTTTCAGAGACCAATTTCACAAATTCTCACATCACAGAATCAACCTGGGTTGATACTCCTGATAGAAAATATGAAGCTAATATATGGCCTTCTAATTTTTCTATGGAGAAATTATTGCAACAACAGTCTTTCACAAAGGATTCTACAATGTTCTCAGTTCTTGGTGCAAATAATATCCCTCCATACTGGTTTTTGGAGACACTGTCCACAAAGTTTCCTTTAACAATTCCGGTCAGCAAACAAGCACCTTGGGAAGAAATGCTTCTGAATGTTTTTTCACAAGAAAGAACAACTTTTACAACTGTTCCAGTTTCTTCTCCAACTTCTTTTAGAGACCTTTTGAAATTTCCCTCTACTGCCACATCTATAACTCCACTTAATGATTCTATGAAGCTAAAGTCAGTAGAATCTAAAGAACAAAACCCAAATCTTAGTTTAACAAAACAAGAGAAAAATTCAGTAGTATTCACAACTTTAGGCTCACATTTACCTCAGCCACTTTTAAATAATTCTGCTGATGAACATTCACATATGGTTGACACAACTTACAAAACTGCTATGACAACTTCAGACATATATGATTTGGTCTCAGGCGAACATTTGAGAACCCCAGCAACATTTTCCATGGTCCTTACTTCAGAAAGCAACTTAGATACGTTAAATAAAGCTTTAGTTTCGCATTGGGACAATAGAGATTGGCACTCCACTACTGATGACAGTGTGTCTTCAGGAAAGAAGACAATCCAGAAACTCTTAACCACAAAAGATATTGCAAGTCACACAGCTTTAGAAAGAACATATTCAAAGATTCCTGTCTGGAAACAATCAACAAGCTATGTAAAGAACAAACCTTCCAGTTCTTCAGTAGCATCCATTAATATAACTGCAACATCTGTTCAGCACATTTCAATTGCACCTTTCACTAAAATGAAGTCTAAACATTTCTCAGAATTTAACATACCATTATCTTCCATAGAAACATCATATTCACCTTTTCAAAACCAAAATATATTGTCACACATCACAGAAATGCCATTATTACAATCAGAACGAAACATATATACATCTCAAAATTTTCTGGAAAATTTCACAGTTGGGAATACTAATTTCACTTTAGGTTATCAAAAGCAGTCCTATTCTACATCTAAAGATTTCCCAGCTACTAACACCCGAACATCTAATCTGGATACATTTTCTACAACTTTGTCAACACATTCTCCTTCATGGCTGTCTACTGACAAATTGCACAGGACACCCAAACCTCAGACAAGAAACTCTGAAAAGTTGTTTGCCTCAAGAAACATGTTTTACACCTCACTTCCATTTTCATCAGCTTCTCAGTTCATTACTAAATTAACTGTTCCAATAAATAATGAAGTTAGTATAATTAGTAATAAAAAAGCTCTTCCTGAATCAATTGCAAGTTCAGTGCCAACATTAAATGTTATCAAAGAATACTCGATCGTAAGAAAAACAACAGACTTTGTAAATAACTTTAATTCAGAAACACATAATCAATTGAGCAAACCATCTACAGCATTAACTACTAGAATGTTGCACACATATAATAAAAATAATGCCCAAGGTACAGTTAAAATACCTAATGAGATCACCACAATCACTCCATTGCAAACACATACCCCCTTTGCAGCTATCATAACTTCTATCCATGCATCACAAACGCAGCTAACTTCTTTGTTGCCAACAACCAACTTTACTCATTCTGTCATTACAGTGTTACCGTCTGTGTCTCCTGGTGTATTATCATCTCTAGCAACTTCAGAAGCAACACCAGTTACAGGAAAATCAGCTCCAACATCACCAATGCTGACTTCATCCTTGTTCTCACTGAGCACTGACAATTCACCATCTGTGATGGCATTAAGCACGTTAAAGTCAACATTAGCAAAAAATAACACTGTCACAAAAATGGCTCCAACGTTAAGCCCAGTAGTAATACATGCAAATTTTCCAGTTGTATCAAGGGATGGTTCTATAATACCTGAATATATCACTAGTTCATCCCCAATTCAGAAATTTAGTACAGCTTCAGTGCCCACAACACATGCACCAAGACAAACTGAAGCATTACTCGACACCAAGAAATCCACAAGCCCAGACATCAGTAAAACATCAACTGCATACCCATTAACAATGACAGCAGCTTTGACATCTATTACAGCATCAGCGAAAACAGCTAGACTTCTCCCTACATCTGCTGAAAATGCTTCTGTTGCTGCTACTGAATCAGCTTTTGTTAATGTGACAACAGTTCTCCCTCTGGAATGCCAGCTGTCCAGAAACCTGCTTGTTAAGACAGGTATGAATATGTATACATTTGGATGCTAGATATTGATTTTGATTATGAAATTGTAATAATTTCAGTTTTTAAAAAATTAGTATAGTAAGTGAAAATGACAACTAGGTAGATAGATACTATTTTTTAAATCTTTTTTTTTTACACAGTATACCTCAAAGTTCTTATAGCACAGTTCTAAAATTAGTAGTGCTTGAATTAATGCTGGATGGCTGAAAAGTCTGCTTAATCTCAAGGCCAAGAGTTATCTAGTACAGTGGCCCCCAACCTTTTGGGCACCAGGGACCGGTTCCTTGGACAGAGTTTTTTCCATAGACTAGAGGAGGAGTGGTTTCACAGGCTGCCTGCATCCCGCGGACGGGGCTTCACTTGTTTGCAAAGACTGGTTTCTGGCATGCTGCAGACTAGTGCAGGTCCACAGACTGGGGTTTGGGGACCTCTGATCTAGTAAATAGAGAATCTTGATGTATTACATGGATGCAGGGGTGGGATTCTACCTGGTCGGACCAGTTCTGTAGAACCGGTTGTTATGATTCTGTGCAGTTTGGAGAACTGGCAAATCGCACCACTGGCTGGCCTCTCCCTTCCCACCCCTCCCTTCCTCCCCTAGTCACCCCTTACCTAGCATGTGCACCATCCAACTTGCCTGCGTTGTGCCTTCGCTTAATTTTTAGTAAATTGCTATTTTTCCTTCCCCCCCAATGATCAGCTGTTCTGAATATTGCCTGTACCTGGCAATTTACATTAGCTAGAAAGCAGGAAGTAGCTGTTGTACTGCTTCGCCTTCACTCAGGAGGTGTTGTGGTTCGCCAACGGCCTGTGCAGACGGCAGCAGAATCAGACAGTGGGGAAGAACAGGGACCAGTCCGGGAGTCTGGGAGGATTCGGGTGAGGGTCCTGCATCCGTTACAGAGATGGGGCCAGGACCATCTGGGAGTTATGTGCTGACTCTGGAGCCTCCACAATTTGGCAGCAGCGAGGCAGAGGAACAAGGGGAGCCTGTTCCCAGTGTGCATGTGTGCAGAGCTGCCAGAAGGCAAGAGCAGCTAAGACAAAAGGGGCGACTCGGAAGTAAGGCTTGGAGGTGATTGCCTCTCCCATAAGTTATAAAAGAAGTGCAAAGATAGGAAAACCTTTGCAGGAAGCAAAGCTGCTCGCTTTGATTGGTTTGGACTCTGAAAGCTCTGTGGTGAATTTGTTCTCTGTTTGGTTTTAAAAGATTAATTGGGATTTTAGTCATTGGCAGTACTTCAAGTAAGATAAGGTGCATTCTTACAAGATGTCTCCTGAATAATTTTGACAGACATCCCTGGGACTATTTATAACCAGTTAAGACTCATTCCGGGCTGTGAATGATGATAATTCACAGCCACTGAACTAAAATAAAAGAGTTTTGGATTTTATGTGTGTTTGTTGGTGTCTCAGGAAGCCTTGGTCAGAACAGGAAGCTTCCCTGAGGCCCAGTCAGGGGTGGTATTCGGGGGTTGGGGGGGGGGAGAAGTGCCCTGAGAGCAGAGCTGAACCTTCCTTAGGACTGAAGCTTCTATTTTTCAGTGCAGACTCAGATTGCAGAAAAGTAGATCTGTGAGTGAATCTGTGATTCTGTGAGCAACTCAATCTGCCTGCCTGCTTCGCCTGATTTTGGGTAAAAGTTGCTCTTTTTTTATAAAAAAAATTCCAATATTTACATGAATATTTACAATATTTACATACAAGCCATGCCTAGCCAGTCACGTTACCATCAAGCCACACCCACAAATTAGGCCACACCCACAGAACTGATTGTTAAGAAATTTGAATCCCACCCTTGCATGGATGGGCACCAATTGATGGTTAAGGGACAAAGTTTGACACCAGGGACTTCAGGTAGGGTAAGTCAATATCATGCACATAGGAAGGCTAGGTTTGGGAAAAAAATTTTTCTAATTCTGATATCCTTGTTATAAAGATTCCCTTATAATTTTCTTTAAATTTCCCACCTCAAAATAGCAGGAAATCCCTTTCAGGTTTTAGCAGTTTTGTACTCTACATGATGCCGCACATTTTCCAATTGTAAGGAACTGTCCAGCAAAGATTTTACAAACATACATGGGATAATGTGCTAGTTTGTTCATCAAGCTTAAGACCTTTATAGCTGATGTTACTGCCTCATTCCAACCATCAACTTTCTTTTAGCTGACACTAGACTTGTAATCATATTGATAAGAATTGAAAGACACAGCTCTTTAATAAGTAAGTTATTACAAGAATTATAGAAGCAGTTAAGAATGGGTTTGCTCAATATAAAATATAAACCCTATTGTTAATAAATTCAATATTTATTATTTCTGACTTTTCCCCACCCATATATTGCTGGTGGCTTGAGATCTCCTTCTTCAAGGAGTGGTTTTCATCTGCCCTCTTACCTTTAATCTGTTTGGTTCTGATCTTGCCAGAAGTCTTATACCTTCCTAATGTATAAGCTTATTAAGAAGATCCTCATGTGAACTGTATGAGAAGGATGTGTTCCCATGATTATGGGTAGGATTTGGGAATTGGGAACATTGTGTTTCTAGATGGGAAATTGTGTCTTTGATTCTAGGCTTCTGTTTGAACATGCTATTACCTCTGTTCCTGTGGATAATCTATACCTGGAGATAAAGGATGGGACCAGCTAGGGAACATTGATTTCCTGATCCTCCGGATTCCACAAATGGCATTTTCTAAGGTGCTGGCAATATCAAGATCTGCTTAATTCCCCTGTATTGTCCTCTTCTTCCTCCAAGGCAGTCTTTCTCAAGCTGGTTCCTAGATTTCTGAGAGTTGCAGTACTTTTAGAGAGTTCCAGAATAGGAGAGGTTGTTCTACCCTCACACCACCAGATATTCTATTCATGAGAGCATTTAATGAAATGGATCCAGAAAAATTTGCAAAATTTGGATCATGTATAAAGCCAATTTTATTAGAAGGCCAAAATAAGGAGAGAAGATTTTGTCATCAAGTAACAAATTAGGAAACTTTATGAGAAGCTGGAGATTCTTCTAGGCCAGAAATATTGCTCTAAGAAACGTTTATCAGTAAGGATTTCTAATTATTTAATTATGATTATGATGACATAGTTGCTTTTGCTGGTTTAAAAGATTAACTATTAATGGTCTTTGACTGTAAATAATAATCTTTATCTGAGTTCAAGTTTTCAGTACTAAATGTAAATTCCCTTGCAGAATTCAATTTGTTTATAAATTATATGGCCAGGCATTGTGATTTGGAAAAAATATATAGAAAAAAAATATAGAAAAAGTGAACAAAGGATACTTGTAAATAAATATGCATCTTTACATTCCAGTATTGTTTCTGAATACAAGAAGACTGCTGCTGAGTGGCTCCTTGAAACAAAATGTCACTAAAGGTCTCACCCTGGCATTGCGGCAAGCTTTCAATCAAAATGTCAATGCACAAGTAAGCAAGTTTGGTGTCTGTTTTATAATCAGATTAAGAACACAAGCTAAGGGTTCTTTTTAACATCTCTGTGAAAAATGTATAGAACTGGTAGAATTGTTGCGAATAACAAATATGAAAACAAACTATTTTTATTTACCAGTTCCTTTTAGCATATATTTCCTTGATTTTAGGCAGAGCAGAGCAGGAGCTTTGATCATTAAGACTGAAAAATCTTGCCAGTTTGCAATGAGCAATCTTTGGTTGAAAATGCAGTGTCAGAAATGGAACATGCAACTCATTCCAGCGGAATGGGACTTCTATTATTTTAGATATATATTATTTTAGCTAACAATTAAGCAGTGGAATGGCTTCCTGTCAGAAGTTGTGATTGCTACATCACTGGAGGCTTTAAGACAGTGGTCCCCAACCTTTTTTGTACCAGGGACCAGTTTCATGCAGAAACACTTTTTCAAGGACCGGGTAGGGGCGTGAAGGTTCTAATAACAAAAATCTATCACTGCATATTACACAGAGTGGGTGTGGGGCTTGTGAATCACCTGTTGCGATGAACCCGTAACTCATTTTGCGAGGGCTAGCTTGCATTGCTGATGCAGGACAAATACGCGCCAAAGAGTCAAGCGTGGAAGTTAGGCGAGGGCAGAAGTGGTTGTCTTTCAAAATAAGACACCCGGAAGCAAAAACATATTTTTATATATATTTTAATCACGATTATTCATTCTTTGCGGGCCGGTACAAAATGATCCATGGGCTGGTACCGGTCCAGGGCCCAGTGGTTGGGGACCCCTGCTTTAAGAGATCGGACAGTTATTTGTCTAAAATGGTGTAAGGTCTCCTGCTTGAACATGGGGTTGAACTTGAAAACCTCCGGAGTTCCTTCTAACTTTGTTACTCTGTTATTCAGTTCACTTGTAGGAGAGGCAATAGATCAATCTGAAAAAGGGGAACAGCATACAAAATTTACTTGCAGAATATTTAAGGAGATACAATAGAGAGCTATTACTGTTATTAAGCTGTTATCTGGTTTGCATAATATTTTGGTTTCTACAAGTTTAGTATAATAGTTCCATTGCTGTTTTTCCTTTATTCTAAAAGAATAATGGTCTGTATGGATTTGTAAAATGCATAGTTAGTAGTCCATTCCAATGTTCCAGTGTCTTGTAAGACAAGCTCTTAATTCATATATGCATATAATATAACATAGAACCAAGAAACTTACCATATGTATTTTTCTATAACAACTTGCATTTTTCCAACACACTGTAACTGGTGTAGAGTTTAGTAATATAGAACTAATGAATAATAAATTAGCCAACAAAGGGAATAATCCATTTGAAGTAAGTCAGGTCACCTAAGGCCAAGGGCTTTTCACTTTATGCTCATTCTTCAATCAGTTGTTATTTAAAAAAACATTTTTAATTATTCATAATTTTATTGAAAGGGCAATTTTGTCTTGATCATTTCTTTGATATTAACAATTTAATCTTTTTAGTTCCTTGAACAGAAGAGTCATACAGTTCTCTTAGTGATCTAAATCGAAACTCTTAATTGTGAAGAATATGAAATGCATATTTATCTTTTTTTATTTTTCAGATAGAAATTCTGGAACAATCAAACAATGTTACAGTTGGTTACTATGTTACTCAGGACAGACTCGTTTTCATACCTGCTGTGGTTATTGAAATGCTAATTGCTTATGGTGTTACTAATGCCACTTTAGATATTAGGAAACATGTGCCAAATCTTCATTCTGTTGCTGTCTTAGCCTTGCCATGGAGCCCATTGCCAGCTTATCATTTTCAGCTGAAAACAGGTAAATCTTCTCTAGTGTACAATCTCGGAGATAATAGGGTTATATCTGTTAGTACAGCTACAAATTTCAGTGTTAGAACAGGAAATAAAAAGTCTTTGTACACCCAAGGTTCTTCTAAATTGGAGTGTGGAACTAAACTTGCCCCCAAAGAGACTTTGCTCCAGTAATCAAAATATATTAGAAGTGGGTATTCCTCCCCTCCCTGTTTAAGGCTTTTTCTTCTGTCAGATAGTATTTGAGAACAATTGGGTCAATCTGCCCCTTGAAAATTAAGAGAGTGGCATTTAATTAGATAAAATTAGCTATTTTAATTGTAACAATGAATTAGCTAGCAAATTGCTTAAATTTGTTTTAAACTATAGATCTGAAGCAACAAAGCACACTTTTTATATGTGTTACAACAACATTTGATTGTTGTTATTCCTTTAACTGTGTCATACTATTTTCCTGCTCTTTAAAAAAGTTTTTAGCACTCTTCAAGAAGGTTGGCAGGGTGGTTAACAAATACCACTATTAAAAGTGTCTGTTCTACATTTACCATCTGAAAACATGACACAGGAAGCAAAAGTGTTAAAGGAAAAACTTCCAAACAATAGTACTGATTGCATCTATAATAATTAGTTGGATTGGAACTGATTTACTTGAAATAGAAACATAGTGGTTCATACTACTAGCATTTCTAAGGTAGTCCTCAGGTTATAGCCACAATTGGGAGTGGAATTGCGATGGCTAAGAGATGTGGTTATAAAATATGATATTACATGACCCACATCACAGAAATCCTAGGTAGCCCTGGTTGCCATTGTAAATTCAAGACATACAAGTCATTAAGCAGGGAGAGGGAGGGTTCTCAAGGAGCGTGGGGTGCTGTGGGGGAGTGATGGCTGGCACAGGTTGCATGCAAGTTGTGAGAGGGCTGGCATAGGCTTGTGTGCAAGTCAGGGAAGGCTGAAGGAGGACAGGCAGAGGCTGTGGGCTGCCGGCTGGACAAAAAGTGGGAGCAACTTGTGACCTTCTCTGCTGGCTTCCCCCTTGACATTGCTTGTGGAGAGTCAGCAGGGAACTTTGCAAATAGTGATTACGTGACACAGCTTTCTGTGACTTTGTAATCACGAACTGAGCACCTGAGTACCTGGACCATGATCATGTGATTGTAGGGGTGCTGCAGTGGCCAGAATTTTGAGGACTGGACGTAAATAACATTCATTCAGTACTGCCATAATTTCAAACAGTCACTGAACAAATGGTTGTTAAGCAAGATATACTTGTACTATATATAGTACAAGATATACTTGTACATGTTCTGTTTTAATGCCACATTATGCCATTTTACGAAATCTTGTGCAGTGAATTTTGTTCTGTTTATTTAGAAGTAAATTTTGAATTCAGTGGGCTTAATCTTGATTAGTGTGAATGTGGCTGACCTTGTCTGGGCTTAAAGCTAAGCATAGCTGGGAGAACTCCATGAAATATCAGGCTAGATAGGGCAGTAAAAATCATCCTAGAAGAAAGAAATGGCCATCCACTTCAATACTGTTGCAAGAAAGCTACCTGATTGTGTTGATGAAATCATTAGAAATAATTAGGAATGTTTGACTTGAAGAGACTTTGTTTTTCAGGATATGTGTAGAGTTACAAGTTTTAACAAAGCAGAGAATATATATTCACTAAATGCAATGGCTCTTGTTCATCTAGAATTACAGTTTGTGGATGAATCAGACAACATACAGTCATGCAGATTTGTTCAGACAATGGAACAAAGATTGCAGAGGGCATTTCAAGATGCTGAGAGGAAGGTCTTGAATACCACTAGCAAATTAAATGTTCAGGTAAAAATTCTTATCTTTATCAAATTATTACTATGTACAACAGGTGAATATTTTTTGCAGGTCTTATTTTTATCATGTTATCAGTATAATTGGAAAACCAATATAAATATATTTTATTATTACCATTTATTAAGAGAAAATTCATGATTCATATGATGACAGTTGTAATTTATTATTCATTTTATTATCATCCATTTATTATTATTATTCATTTGTTTAATAGATTGATATCCTGTCCTTTTTTTTGTACAGGAGCTCAAATCAGTATCCATAATGCTGTTTCTTCTTATTTTGGGTTGAGAGAGTATGAGCAGCCTAAAGTTACCCCAATGAGATTTCATGGTTGAGAGTGGACTAGACTCTAGGTCTCCCTATTCCTTGTCTAACACCTTAACCACTGCATATATGTATGGAATCTTATTTCCATGTGTATATAAACATACACAAGGGCAGCTATTCTTACAAAATTGTATTTCATTTCTATACATCTCATACTTTTCTGTTCAATATGCCACTTTCTTTGGAGCCAAAGGAGTACTGTTGCTGTATCTCCAGCAATACTGTGTGTGTGTGCTATGACAAACAGAATTTGAGATTTTGAGCTGGACTTTGTATTACAAAAAGGATTCAGAAATGAAGAAATTTATTTATCCTCTCTGCAATTATTTATCTGCAAAGCAGATTGCATGAATGAGTGTTGATGATGGATTGGTTGCCTTGTATTTCTCGTGTGTGTGTGTGTGTGTGTGTGTGTGTGTATTACTTTTAGCCTCTCAGGGTTGTGATCTACAAGATGGGTGGCTATATAAATGTTTTAAATGAATGAATGAATGAGGTAGCTTGCTAGCTGTTGTAGGACTCCCGTGTACAGTAATTAGCAAAGACAGAATTCATCTCAGACTGGTCTTCCTATAAAATTACAAAGAGAATATGAGAACCAAAATCCTATTCAGGATCTGCAAAACCAGTAGAATTGTGTTAACTGCCCAGTTCACAAAGCACAGCACACCAATTCAAGTGAATACAGTCCAGTTTCACATTTTAAAGCAGTTAAGCTGTATGAATAATGGATCTTAACCCCTTATTTGTAGCTATTATTGAAAGATTACTTAAGAATACTGGCTGAATTTCTCAAATGCTATAAAACTAAACCAATTGCTTTTATTTTATGGATATTGGAATCTTTTAAAAGCTATAACTAACTAAAAGATATGTGCCATCGTAATTCTTCCCCTCCCCCTAAAACCACCTACTGATTGATGAAGGAATTTTACAGCAGTGTGTGTTACTAAATGGAACAATGGCAGAATTCAATAATCATTTCAAACATTTTTTCCAAGTTTTACATTCAGTTAATTATATACTCATTTCTAGATATGTAGTTATATTCTATACTGAGTGGTAAAAATCAAAATAAAGTTTAATAGGATCCTTTCTAGTTGACTAGTCATGCCAGAAATCCACAGGGACATGCCAAAGAAAAGAAGTGTCAAAAATTTGGCTTGATAAGCTTGACTGGCAGATGTGAACTGTTTGCTTTGTGTAGAAAGAGTATGAATCATATACAGTAACTGCTTTATGAAAAAATGAATTCAGAACAAGAAATAATTTATTTGGCATTTGAATAATTTTTATATGAGTAAACTGATCTATATTATTACCAGTTTGAATTTTTAACACCTTTTAGCATCATATAAATATGTTCCTTTTTAAATACAATTTAATGGTTTTTTTAGAATAATACACCCTCAAAACAGATAGAACAAGAAGCCAGCAATGAACAAGAGTGATAGGACCTGATACCTATATATTCCTCCCTTGTGATATTTTTGTTCTTCATCAGTACAAAATCTTGTAATAGCATCTTCTTATCATAGATGAGATCTTTATCTCATTGTATTAAATCTGTTTGAGTTTTCTTACATTTAGAATGTGCCTGTAAGCAAGAATTTGTTTGGTTCCTTCAATTCATGCATGGTGCACTGCATAATTAGGGGGCATTTTTAAACTAATAGAGATGAGGAAGAGTTATATGTGCTGTTTTGCTTCTTCTTTGAGCATCAAGAAAGGATGGCAGTCTTGTCTGCCCCAGATGTTTGCTGCAGGTCTGTGCAATTAGACTTGCATAATATGCACTGAAAGCATGTGGTAAACTTTTGTGGGCATAACATTACTCTGTGGAAAATGACATTACCATGAAGACAAGACACATTTCCCATTTGAACTTCCTCCACTCCCTATTTGCAATGGAAGAAACCTGAATGAAATATTGTCTCCCCCATGCATGGAACATGCCATTTTTACTTCTCCTGCTTGTTCCCTCTCCCATTTCTCCCTCAATTCTACTTTCCATAGTATAAAATTGGTTATAATTTGTATATTTGATAGCCCTGCAGATTAGATGGGTGGGAAAAACTGTAAGAACAAATAAGATTTGAATGTTTTGAATGCTCAGCTCTTAAAATTTAAAAATGGAGCAGAACCAAACATAACAACAGAAAAGTTACCATTTTCTTATATATATACAGGCATCCAAATGGCCCATCATTATACATATAAAGAATGTGCTTCCAAGTTGAGTTTCTGTTTGTGAAATAGAAATATTCTTTTCTACTGCCTGTTGGGTTGGTTGGATTGTCTATCTAAAGAGTGAAAATACCTGAGAGCATGTGTCTTTTACAGTAATAGCATGATTAACATTTACCCTTGATCTTTGCACTAATATAATAATAATACATGGAAAGAGCAATAAATCAAAGTGAACTTATCTACTCTGTCTCTATTGCAATTGTTTTATTTTTTCAGATCCTGAACACATCAAATGTGTCTCAGGCCGTCACTCTGTTTTATGTGGTGAGGAATGAAAGTACAGTCTTAAATGGCACAGTTTCAAGCAACCTTCTTAATCAGCTTTCAGCAGAACTGGTGGGATTCTATCTTACTTTCCCACCATTAACTATTGCTGAAGGTAAGTCTTCTTTACATCACTCCCTATTTTATTGTTCTATTTTAATTTTATTCACAAAAATTAAAATACAAATTCAAAAAACTTCTAAGTTTTATTTTTTAAAAATGAAGAAACCACAAAACAAACAGAACACTTATACACATATTATCCTCCCTAGTTGAATACTGATTAATATATTACAACAATATTAGTTTCTCACCCCTTGCAAAACAGGCCCTCCAAATTTTTAAACTACTAAATCTACTTGAAAGTTATTAGCCTGTCATCCATATACTATATTAATGACCAAATAGTTAACAACAACAGAACAATAATAATAATGTAAAATTAAAGTTTCAAAACCCTCTCCTTGGAACTGTTATTGTAATCCAGGGGTCCTCAACCTGTTGGGAACCAGGCCACCAAAACGGTGGGTGAGCATGTGAAATTTCATTTGTGTATGTATGGGAATTAGGTTGTACGCACTGCTGCCCATCCGCGGAACTGAAAAGGGAGCCCTGTTGTAATCAACTTGTAGAAAATTTACCAAAGCATCTATCTCAGGTTGGCCCAAAAGATAACAGTCATTTATCCTAGACCAAATTTCCATGTTCTTCACATTGCCCTAATACTTGGTAATCTTTCATATTAAATGAGGTTTCAGGAGGTGATAACCCCTTGCTGGGCTTGGCTGATCCCGTAAAGCTAAGGGGGGTAGGACTTCATTTGTCCCTCAAATATAACAACAGATAGTAGATCTGCAGGCTAGATTATTAAAAAGGTATTCTGGGGAAAGGAGCAATTCATTTTCATATGGTATCGTGACATTGACATGGAGAGAATAAAAAAGTCACTAAGAGATGAGTTCAGTTCAAGAACATATTTAGTAATAACTGATAGGCTATGCTATTTGGAAATATTTAGTATTTAAGAACCATTGATTTAGTTTGCTTCAGATAAGAAATGTTAATTTACTTTGCCAACCATCTTTCCTTAAAAGGGAATATGGGGAAAATCTCTATTTAAAATGCATCTGAAAAGAAAGACTGAAGGGGCTTAATAAAATTCCCCAGACTGGTTTCCAAAGTATGTCATGAGGTCATGAAATAACTATTCAGTGACTTTGCCGGCAACCAAATTTTTATAAACATTGAACAATAGAGTTAAAAGAACAATATGTATATTCTAATCAAGTGACTACTTTGTTACAAAATAAAGTCTAAGTTGGATCCATTTCTGTTCATTTGTTGATGGAACACATTTTTCCTACTCTTTCAACATTATATACACCAAGAGGAGTTTTATCTTAAACTTGGCACTGAAGAAGAATCTTTCAGAAATTATACCTTTTCATGTTTCTTTTCATTATATTGCAGACCTCTCCTGTTCTTTCACATAATTACTCTTTTTTTTTTTGCTATGTTGTCTCATAAATCTGAAGAGCATATAAGGTTCATGATTTCTCTTCTGTAAATACCAATATAGAAAGAGCTTATTAATTTGCTACAGTATGATTTTAATTTATTGGGTAAAGGGCATGGAACATTTTCATACTGTCATTTCCTGTAAAATCTCCATACATGATTTAAAAAGTCATAAATAGAATAAAATGGCTGCAATGAAATTTACTTTTGATAATTGCTCAAAAATATGTTTATTCTTACATGGCGTATATGAATGTTGGCACATCAGTATACCTGTATTTTAAATAAAAATACGGTTAATGTTGCATTAATGTAATAATGAATGAATTAGCATTTATTTTGGACATATTATCTGTGTGGATATATATTGCTACATACAATTTTGAGTCTGTTGACTGCATATCATTTTTAAGCAATCCAGATTGCAATTTTCGTCTTCCCCAGTATGGCCAAAATATGTGGGTGGTACCAGTTTGAAAAATAGTTACTTATTGCATGTTGTTTGTGTATTATAACCTGCTCCCAATCTTGAAGGGCTCTTTTTGGCTTAGAGCAACCACAGAATACCTCAAGGTAGATGCTCTCATTCAGTCAATCAGGTATGAAAATTCGTCAAAGGAACAATACAATTTTAATTAATAGAATATTGACAAGCAGGGGGTACATGAAGCTTCATATGGAAAGAGTTTTGAAACCAGAGCTGCTGAAGAGGAGTCCTGTTGCTTTGTCCAAATACCGTCCCCATGTTTAGCAACTGCAATCCATTCCTTAAATAAAAATAAAAATATTATTAAGCAAAATTGTTGCTAAGTGAACTCACGTCTCTGAGGGAGAACGAAAAATACTGTAAAAATCCCTGATTGTTGCTGCCCCATTCAATATTGTCTCCCACAATGACCGATGCCTGACAAATTTTCTTTCTCCCCTCCCCCCCCTTTTTTTGCCCCTCGCAGTGCATAGAGATTGCTTAAACAGACTGTTTCTTCCTGAAGCTGCTTTTCTGTGCAATATAGTACTTCTCTAAATTTGCTAACATTTCACAGTGAAGGTTTTGGTAATTATGCACACAAAATTTGGTCCTAAAGGTGTGCAAAGGTCAGAAAGTATATTTTTAAATTTACAGTTGTTAAATGAGATAGCCGCTAAACAAAGAGTGGCTGTACCTCATGAACCTTGCGAGGAGAGGGACTTTTAATAGATCTTCTCTACAAGACCTACCTGTATCAGCATTTTTCAGGCTAGTTTTATAATGACTTTTGTCTTTTCAAGAGACAAATCGTGTGGAAAATAGGCAGGAATATCAGGTTTGCCACGTTAGATTATATATAAAAAAGGTGGAATATGATATGGGAGAAATAAATAACTATTATAAAAAAAAATATTCTGGAATTTGAGTAAAATAACTTTGAACTACATAATTTATAGTTGTTGTCAGTGTGTGCTTCCTTCAAAATCCAAGAAAGAAATACCCAGACTCCATGGATCAGAGCAAAGTTATTCTTTTACTGGAAATGGAAGAGGAAGCTACAGATGGAATTCCGAAACTGAGAATTTGGCGCGCAGATCACATATACAAAGGAATGGAATTGTTCCCACCCCCCAAAGTCCAGAAGTCTCTTCCAATTAAAAGTTCTGAATATGATCATGTGGGCATCTTCAGGTGGTGATGAGGCCTCTGTCCGTTGACCTTGACATATTTTGATAAGACTTCGCAGCTGCGCAAAAAGGGATAGAAGCTAGCAAGGAAATGGAAAGTTGAAAGGAAGAAATCATACACCCCCTCCTTTTGCTTACCCACAGTAAAGGAATGCAAAACACCTCCAGCTCTCTTCCCCCCACAATTACCCCTCCCCCCGTTGCTAATGACAGCCTAAAGAATTAAGCCTAGTAGTAGAGAAGATAAAGTAGGTAGGATATGGGAGAGATAAATGAGATAGAAAGCAGTTAGGGTACCCGAAGAGATCTTGACAGTTGTCAATCCAGAATATTAAAATGACTGTAATAGGGTTCATGTAGACACATGAAGTAGTACCTTGGGACCCCTTATTGCAGTCTAGAAGTGGGGGGTGTCTTCAAATCTTGTTTTCACAAATCCTTGGCCATTTTTCTCCAAAGTATCCTCTTGTTCACTCATTTGCCAGACAAAAGTCTTGTGCTAGTTCTGTTCCTTGAATAGTTTGACCTGGCAAAAAGGCATATGCTAAAGAAAGAACTACTTCTTTCAAAAGAAATAATTTATTTAGGGGTTTGTTTGTTTTTTGTATAGAATAAAACTCAGTGAGTGTTATTAGTGACCTAGAAGAAATTGGAAGGAAGAAAAAAAGAAGAAGAAATGAACAATTGCTGTCTTGAGAGGTTGATTTTAATTTATTTTAAACTATTAATTCAAGAACTAATTGCTCCCTCACCTCCAGGAACTCTCACAACTTCATAGAGACAATATCTCAACGAATGTAATAAGGAATCTATACTACAGAAAATTTTACTAATCCTAATTTGTGCCTAAATTTATAGATGTAGCCCTGTTGCTTCTGTTTTGGGGAAATATAGTTTTTCCCCTACCTTGCTTTCAGTTGCTTCTGAAGGAGTAAACTCCAACTCCAAACATCTCCTTTAAAAAGAAAGCCAACCTAAGAGAAGGAAACTATTTCCTGATTGGCCTCTGGATACGATTTTCACTGACTTCTGTTGTCTCTGCCCATCACCTGGATGAATAGGATAGCTAATTTTTTTTGTCACCCTTTGAATTGCTTTTGAAGTGGATTTTTTCCACCTTCACTATAATCATATTTCAGTTGTCTTTTATTTTTATAGTTACCCAAAATCCGATGAACAAATTCAGAAGGGAATTATGATTTCAGTTTATATGCCAAACAGGAGTAGCAATAAATTACATGCAGGGCTTGATTTCCAAAGAACACCAACTCCTATATTTTATCCGGTGCACAATTTATAATGTAATCTTATAAAACTTATTTGAAAAGTATAGATGATCTGTGTGATTTTCCCTTTGTATGTGGGTTTGACAATCTGATTCTGGAGCTTATTGAGACTTTTAGAAATAAGGAATACTTGCATGCAGGGATTCCTGATAAGAAAATAGAACTGAAATTTTGCAGAATAAACTTTTGGCATAGCCCAAGAAAAAAAAAAAGACAATTTGGAAAATGTGAGGCTAGTTGAGTATTTGATTGCTTTGTTTCCTGTTTTATTTTAAAGCACTGGAATATCCAAATCTTGATACTTCAGAAGCAACTAGAGATTACTGGGTGATTACAGGTAAATGATTTTTTTAAAAAACAACAACAGTATTTTCTTAATTTTCTTACCTTAAATTTGTTTTTCTCACATGAAAGAACCTTGACACTGTGAGGACAGTTAAAATGAGCATGATATCTGCCATTTTTAGGTGACTTTGTAAAATATTAAATAGAGACGTCTGCAAATTATTGCCTTATTCAGTTAGTTCTTTGAAAAAACAATTATGAATTTAATATCCAAAAATAATATGCCCAAGGTTTACAAGTTTCAGAACCTTAACAAAAATAACGAGGTATACAACGTGTTGATTTATAAATACATATTGGCCATATATACATCTGGCTGTCTCATAGCAACATACTTATACTGTTTCTCTCAGCATGCATATGAGAAGGGTTGGTTTTTTCCCACTAGCTCTCCTTTTTCAACAATCTGCCCCCTACATACCAAACAACTCTACAAGTGAGATTAATTTCCTGAGAAAATCCAATTTGAATAATGGAATAAAAGACACATTCTTGGAAAAATACAAGTGGGATTTGTTTTTTTCTCTTTTTGCTAAATCACAGAACACAGTAGTTAAGAAAACATGAACATTCTCAGTCTGCATGGTTAACTATGCAAGTTGCATATTTTCTCTGCTTAAGAAAAAAAGAATTGTAAGAACAATATTTTTTTCTGCAATGCAACTGTGCTTCGGCACAATTCATTCATGTTGCAGTTTTGTGGAGAAATGTGAATTTTCTAAATCTGCAGGTTTTGTGCAGCTGTGCTTTGGTTTAAATTACTTCCACAGAAAACATTTATCTCCTGAATTGAAACAAATACTTTGTTATGTAGCTGATTACTTCCAATTTGTTTGGGCTGCAACGTAAGTAGAAACCAGCCATTTCTTGGAAGGACAAATATTTCTTGTGTTTCTGTGATTCCCAGTGTAAATCTAATGGAATTTCTCTTCTTCATTTCTCAATAAATAAGCTTTTTAGAAATCTCTTTTAGAGATTTCTTTTTTTCTCTTTTGGAACTTTCAAATGTTTTTTTTTTAAATGTACAAGATTCAGTATAGCATAGGGAATATACATGTGTGCGGATACTGTTTTTTATTTCACAGTGACCTTTAACAATTGTGATTATCCATCAGAACATTTTATCCATATTTTTATAATCATTTTAACACGGCAATTCATTTTTTTATTGTAATTGTCATCTTTTCATCATTTAAAAGGGTGGTGTCCACATGGAGATCAATATTTAAATTATACATATAACAATAATCAAAATAAAATGATGCTAATAAAACAACTATTTAATCTTTTAGAGTCCAAGTAAAATATATATATAATCTTCTAATAATAAGATAAGCTATAAAATAATATAAGCTAATTCCACAATAGGATTCATGGAATGTGCTTCCAAGCCATTTTTGAATAAAAATGTTTTACAGATATGTTGCAGGATTAAGATATATTTTAAAGACCAATTAAAGGTTACACAGTACTTGTACACATGTACAAGTCTGTATTGAATATTGTACATAAAAACACACAATACATGAAATTGTTGAAAGAAAAAACATTTTTTAAAGTGTATATGTTAATATATCTTTAATTCACTGCTGCAGTATGCATTTTGCTTCTATTTTTTAGTTATTCTTGGAGTTGACATTACATTGCTGGGGGTAAATAACCAAAGTTTTGCAAGACTCATGGAGCAACGTTTAGCACCACTGTTCATGATGTCTCATCAACAAGAAAGACGATTTAAACGAGCCACTACTATTGGCAGCTTTACTGTGCAGGTAAAGACAAGAACTAAAGACAATTCTTAAGTTTCTCCCTCTTTTGCAGTATTTGGGGGGTGGAGGTGGGTATCAACCAGAAACTTCATATTGTAGTGAAGATTATGAGCAATTAAGATTTTTCTGTTCATTTTTATTATTGTTCCCCTCCATTAATTGGTTATCTGATTTGTACATGGTTGCATAAAAAGAAAATCTAAGAGCAGGATCTGGTTGTTTGGTGTGTGAACCTAGGTTAGGTGTCTGATCTGTTTTGATTGGAGCGGAGTTTATGAAGCACCAAGAAGCTGGAATCACTCGGATTAATTTAGTACCTAGAAACTAAAATGCGAAAGGAATGCAAATAAATTTGAGTGTGCTATTATGTGAACATAGATCAAGTGACTTTCATGGATAACAAGAGAAAAGTGAAAATTCTGTTTTTCTGACAGGTGAAAAGAGTACAAATCCTACAGTACAAATCCTGGCGTTTAGTAGGTTTATACTCCTGTTTACTATAGAAGACAAATTTTGTATGTTTATTTTTGGTTCATCCATGTCTCTCAATAAATGAACTAATCTAGCCAGGTTTTGTTTGTGAGCTTTCTGCCAAGGAAATCAATTCCTGAACAAAGAGTTAGTGTCTGGAATACTGAGATTTGCAGCCCTGTCTATGTATAAACTTGTCAATATGGGATACAAACAAGTTCCCACTGGTATTTCTGAACTAAATAACTTCCTTCTGAATATTCATGAATGTTGCAAATTTAATTGAAAATGTAATTTAAATTTACAAGCCTTTTTGCAAATTAATGTTGTCTTTTGTGGGATACAGAAATGAATGTATTAACTTTATAGATGTAATTGCTTTCTATGGTCTGTATTTGTGTGGTTTTTTTTTTTTAAGATGGTAAAAATGCAGCGAATTCCAGGTCCCCGGGAGCCTGCTGAATTGACTTACTATACTTTATACAATGGGAAACCTTTGCTAGGCACAATAGCTGCTAAACGTTTGACTACGGTTGATTCACAAAGGATGGCCTTGACCCTCGGATATGTTGTTCAAGTACAAGCTGATCGTAAGAAATATTTTCTTTGCTTCCCTCTTCCTCTTTTAGATGTTTAATTGTAATTCTTATGAATTGTAATGAAATTGTAACGAAAACCTTCTGAGACTTATTTAAAATGTTATCTTCTGTAGTTGCTTATTAGTTGCTTTTTTCTCTTGGAATACTATATCACATTCTTTAGAACAATATCATATGGAAGAACTTTCTGAGAATATAGGATATATACATAAATATGTGTGTGAGTTCACACATATTTATGTATATATCATATATATATATATATCTCCTAAATATATAAATATTTGTGAGATTATAATTTACATTGACCCTTTGGATTATAGGAAGTGTAAACATGCCATAATGATAGCCCAGAATTAAAACAAATCTTAGATTCAGCCTGTTACAATGCAGCAAATGTGGCATGGTCTGTACAAACGCACTAGTCTTCGTTTTGAATTGCACAGTGTACTTTCCACCTGTCTTAGTGACTTCTTGCCTGCTCCCTGTGTTGTGATTTTTGTTTTACATTCATCTAATTTTTAAGAAGCTGATAAATTAAGAAGCTGCATGTTGTTATAGTTGGTAGTAAAAGATATATGGTTTATATAACAACAACATCCCATACCCTGCTGATTTCTTAGAAGTCAATTTGTGTGTTTGTATTGTCAACCTCTTGTTTTACTGAAGCAAGAGATGAATGATTTTGAGAACCTACGTACCTTCTTTGCTGTTTCCTTTATTTAAGCAAGCAAGAAAGCAAGTCACCTATATCTACTCTTAACCACAACAACTATCTAGTCTTTTCTGTAGCTTTTTGTTATGTATAAAGTGAAATGGTGTAATGAATGGTTAAGAGAAGCTAAAGTATGAAATTGTTTGAAATTGGTATCTTTTCTTTGCTTATTTGGAAACTGTGAGGAGTATATAGATAACCGAATAACCTATCTTATATAAAGTACTTGCTGGTTTAAAGGAGGATAAAGTGGCTGAATAAAACAGATCAATATCTGAATTTGTTAAGCTAAGATTCTAATATTCTGAAGTAGGTCAACGTATCTTCTCCAGAGCAAGGCATTTTTAAATTACAGTTAAGAATTGGCTGTTTATCTATAGTTTTATCAAGACTGAAATTGTGTATATTAATTGTAGACAAAGAAAGAAGTGTATGATAAATTATTCTAACATTGCAGATAATTTCTATGTTTAATTCCACATATTACAATATATCCTAGGTTGCAGAATATAATGCATTCTGGAGTGCATTCAATTAACATTGTACATTTCCTATACCAGGAAAAATAGTAAACTCTGACACAGTGAGAACTAAACAATTGCTCATTAATACGTTCTCACATTGGACCCAGTGGAAATAGGAACTACTTTATATAAAACAAACTATTGAGCTAAGTACTATTATGCAGACAGATAATAGCGCACCCAGATTCCTTTTGCTTACCTGTGTATTGATTTTTTTTTTATAGTAGTGTTAGCACTTGGTTAAGCTAAATATGTTTGGTGCTTTTTATGTATATTTTTAGGTAATTAAGACTATTATATTTTCAGAAGTTTAGAGCTGGTTTTCATTATAGTTGAAAATAGTAAGATAAAAAAATAGAAAACTAATATGTTCTACCATCTCTATAGATGTTAAGTGCAGGTAAAGCCCATTTCAAATCAATTGGGGAATAGAGAAATATTTTGAGAACATCTGCATATAATGGTTTAACAGTTTTTTAAAGTTTACGACTATTGATTTCAGAATAGAGAAGCTGAATAAAAAGAACCAATATGCATCCTTGTTTCACAGACCACTGAGTAAAGAAACCCCTTAATTTCGTGTGTCTTAATCTCCGTTAGTGATTTTCAGATTCCTAAATAATGCTAAATTGTTTTCTTAACAACTACAAAATTCTGCTGTTCCAAGCAATCTGCAAATTTCCAGTCACATGACTGAAACATTACTTTATGGTAACATTTAGCAGATTAAGCAGTCTATAATGTTTAGGAGCCAAATTATTTCCCTTTTTTATACATAGCCATCACAGTGGCCTGCCCTCATTCTGTCTGGATTTCAGCTGTAGTCTTGGTAAAAAGAGCCAAACATAAAGTTAGTAAATAAGCTTGAATAGGTGACACCATGCAGATACTTTCATTCCCCCCCCCCCCCATAAAGTGAACTTGTGGAAAGCACACATTAGTTTTCCAGTTGAAAAATGTATAAAGGAACGCTGCTGCCAGTCAAATTTGGTGGACAGTTTATACTCCGGAAGTTTTGTTTTTGAAGCCAAGACTCTTGTACTGCTCCTTCATGCATTTCAGTTTATGTCCTGAAAGATGGATTTTGCAGTCAATTTTGCCATGCCAATATACATATATAATATTGCATTGCCTTTAGAAATCATATTAATAGCAATGGAGTATGTAAAACTGTTCTAATAATGGCTAAAATTGATTTATCCTGCAATAGGCTAACTTCATTGGTTTCCAAAAATATCTTTAAAAATAGTGGAAGAAAAACCTAGTACCATAGTAAAACTCATTTTTATAGACCTTTTGACCACTTTAGTTCAAAAAGAAGCCCAAAGGTATGTTTTGAATATCAGTGTACAATATTCCCCATTTTTAGGTGTTAAGACCAGTTTCAGACTGGTTGCTTATTGGTCAGATAACTTCATGTCGAAGCAGCAACAACTGCTACTCTGGGCAGAATTAATAAATGATTTTATTTAATGAATAAATGATTTTATTTAATGAATAATGATTAATTATTATCATTAAAATTATTAATGATTTAATCATTACAATTAACAAATAAATCATTAATTTAACAAACCATTATATTAATAATTTGATGAATTTACAACAGCAGAGAGATTTTAATTTAAAAATTACATTAGATTGGTAGCCTCTAACAATAGAAGACTCATGCACACATTGCTGTTCTACATTTATAATGTGCTAGTCCTATGCTTTTTTGTATAAATGTCTAAATAAAATTGATGCTGTTGAATATAATTGAGTGTGAGGAGTAATCTATTTCTTCATGATAGAGCATAGTTGGTATGCTTAGGGAAAACCTCATGTCAGAGGTTTCAGTTAACATAGGAGAAATAGGGAAAAAAATTCTGACTGAACAAATAGACTAGCCTTTTCTAAACTGACATTCTCCTAATGCATTGTGAGACTAGCACCAAGAATTTCAGTCCCAGTTCATCTGGAAGGATTTTGGATTGGAGAAAACTAGAGAAAAATGTATTCAGTCAAATGGATCATTGCTCTGATTCAATATACCGTATTTATCGGCGTATAACACGCACTTTTTCCCCCTGAAAATAGGGGGCAAATGATGTATGCGTGTTATACGCCGATGTCCAGGGAGCGGAATCCTCTTTAAGGGATCCCGTTCCCAATAGTGCCTAGCGGCGGCGCAGCATCGTGACGTGATGTCAGCGCTGCGCCCGCCGCATATTTTTTCCTGAAATTTCCCTCTTAAAGGGAATGCGTGTTATACGCCTGTGCGTGTTATACGCCGATAAATACGGTAAGTAAACTTTATAAGTTTAATTCTTTCCTTTTCTCTTGATGTATGCAGCTGTAGTTAAAAACCCACCCAACAATTTATGGATCATTGCAGCAGTGTTGGCTCCCATAGCAGTTGTTACAGTCATCATCCTTATCATCACAGCTGTTCTATGCAGGAAGAACAAAAATGACTTCAAGGCAGACACCATGATGAACTTGCCACAAAGAACCAAGGTAGGCTATTTTTGTCCTAGGCATAGGGCATATGAATTTGTTTCTTCAGACTTACATTCTTCATCCATGTGTGCAAGATAAGTTAATTGTGTTGTGTTTAGACAAAGTTTTACGAAGGCATTAATGTATGCTCAAAGACCGATTGCAACCATTCCTACTGACAGGAACTAGCATGATTGACATCAGAAAAGGCATCACTTGTTTTTGATAATTGGATGAAAATGAATTAAATATAGGCTTGTTAAGTCTCCCTGATTCATAGTAAGAACTCTATATTTTATCCTTTGTCCTTTTGTTCCAAATAGTAGAAAGTGAAAGGTATTTTTTTAGTTGATTTCCATATAATTGAACTGGAAGCAGTGCTAAACTTCAGAGTTACCCAACTCATCCCATTCCCGAGCAGTAGTCACCCAGAGAATTGCAAGTAATGGGCAATATCACATGGACCTGGTCTATCAAGAGTATTAAAACTTATTCTACTCATTAAAGCACCTTTTCATTCTGTTTTTTTTAATTTTACACATGAATTCTGTAATAAGGAGATTAGCATGTACATGGCATCAGATGCTTGTTTTATTATTTCTGTATCAAAATTACAGTTGAATAAATTAGATTTGTTTGCTGACAGAAGCAAAGCCATTTTATTTCTGTTGTAATGATGGTGCTATTATTTCAGTATTTCAGATTATAAAGGCTGGCAAATAATGTGTGTGTGTGTATGTGTGTGTGTGTGTGTATATGGTATGCAGCATACCTGATTCACAGTCCATCACCTACAAAATGTCGTGTGGACATTTGTCTTTCTGGTTTCCTAAAACTGCATATTACTTAATTGGGAGTAACCTAAAATATATTAATGTCTATGTATTACAATCTAAGAATTATAAATAAACTCAGAATATTAGGATAGCATGGTTGCAAAGAAATACAGACATTTATTCATTTATTGAGTCAGCATGTCAAACTAAGCTGGTGCCACCATTCCAAAATTATGAATAAAATCTGCTGTTTAATACCTAGATTTATATTGTGGATTCCAGATTCTAAAGTAAGTGATTTTTAATATCTGCCTTAATTGAATTTAGGGCAATGAATGAATGAATTCTTCATTGGCCAAGTGTGATTAGACACACAAGGAATTTGTCTTGGTGCATATGCTCTCAGTGTACATAAAAAGAAAAGATACATTTGTCAAGAATCATAAGGTACAACATTTAATGATAGTCACAGGATACAAATAAGCAATCAAATCATACTAGGAAACAGTCAATATAAATCATAAGAATACAAGCAACAAAGTTACAGTCATACAGTCACAAGTGGGAGGGAATGGTAAGAGTGATGAGAAGATTAATAGTAATAGTAATGCAGACTTAGTAAATAGTTGGACAGTGTTGAGGGAATTATTTGTTTAGCAGAGTGATGGCATATGGGAAAAACTGTTCTTTGGTCATTTTCATAAAAAATGGTTTCATCTTCATAAAAAAATCTTCAATAGTTATTAAAATAACTTTAAACCTTCTGTCATAATAATTTATGTATAATACAAAGATTGAGGTTAAAATCTGACAATTCAGTTTTTATTTTAGTAAAGAAATAGTAGAACTATTAGCTTAATTAGATCGAGACTATTTTTAGTTATTACTATCTTAAGATGATATACTTTGTTTTAAAATTTCAGAAACATGACATTTGAACAAATGCTTGGAGATATCAGTAATTCCCTTCCCTCCCAACATACTGTGACTTTAAAGTGATCTATTTCATATTATCTTTTGCATATCAAAACATATTGTAATTGGAGGATGTAAGAGCTTTGACAAATTGAGAGACCCAGATAGATTATAGTTTGATAAATTGCAGCTCTAGTCTCCAGTGTGAGTCAGTTATGGCTCCCATTTTGCAGTAATTGCATTTATGTATGTGAGCAAAATTTAGATTATGTTGGGAATACTTTAACTTTATTATTCCCTAATGTCATTGCTCCACAGGCTGCCCCTGCAATAACTCTGAGGAGAGGGAGTCCTTTCATTCAGGAGAATGGCTCCCATCTGAAGCATTTTCTTATAGGTTCCTCTGATTTCTCTGCTGTAATACTAATTAGTATTGATTAATAACTTATTTTCATTTTAACCTCTTTGAACATTGACTTCTTATCATAAAAGGAAAGTAGCTAATTGTTAAACATAAAAGTCTCACAGTGTAAATAGTTGTTAATAATATTGAATACCGTATTTAAATATGCTGTGTATTATTTGTGTAGCTATTTTTTAATAGTTGTCTGACACTGCTTGCAACTCTTCTGGATGAAAAATTTGATTTGCAATAGGATTACTTTATTGTTTTAAAATCTTGTTTGTTGCTGCTTATATTTTGAATATGGCTGTTAAGAACGTTTTGGTGTATTATTTTTTAAGAATGTGCAATCCGCGTTTGTGATAAGAAATCTTGGTATTTTGCATTGCTTGCAGTGCTGTGTAGTGTCTTGTTTTCCTTGCCTAGCTTGCTCTGATTTCAGGTCTCAGAGGGGAACACAGTGCATAGAGCTGCGTAATCAGTCCTGTATTCCTGCTGCTAACAGCATTCTGTACACAGCAGCTCTTTGCACCGAAGGCCTACCTACTGGACCATTTCATAAAATCCCTCTCTCAGTGAATGGATCTAAGCAGTTCAATTAAACCTTTAGATTAAACACTGCAGTACATGGTGACCAAGAGGAAAAAGATTTTGCTGCACTTCTGAGGCTGCACTGTAGGAAGAATTCCTTAAAGGAATCTAGACAAGTGATGTCATTTGCAAGAGATCAGTGGCTTTTTGAAAAAGAGTACAGCATCTTGAGACTACTTTGATTTCTTTAGTATCTTCATTGATTTTGCTTCAAGTGACTTAACTACAACATGAGGAAAAGTGAGGTTTCCCCGCCCCCTGGAGAATCATTGTATATATGCATTTCTCTTCTTTTTATATTTGTTGAAAATGAGCTTAGCCAAATTTAGTTTTTTACCTGATGCAACCTGAATATGATAAAAGAATGAATTATTTAATCTGAGTGCACTAGAACTCTTTTTATTTTTAATCTTTTGACTCCATTACTATAATAGTGCATCCTTTGTTCCTTTTAATTAATAGCATCAATTTGCAGCTAATGGTTTTAAATTTGAAAGGGGAAATGCCTTACTTTCAGCCAAGTCAATAAACTTATTCCAGTTTTCAATATAAAACCAAGAAAAGTCCCATTTCAAAATCGTCAGATAGAAAGGGCTGCAACAGTTGGAAGTTGGAATGAAATTAAAACCCGGTGCAGAGGGAACAGCTTCTTTTGAAACAAGAAATAGAGCAGTTCCAGCCAATTAATAATTTATCTACCAATCCATTAACCTCTTCCCACATCCTGCTATGCTGCCTCATTGTGGTCAGGAAGGGATGTTCCTGGGAAGAAAGAACAAGAACACTGGAATGTATGCCAAGAATATATAATCCCAACAGGGTCACCCAAAGGGTGAAGTTCCTACTAGTTTTGCAACTAAAGGAAATAAACATCTCTTTGGGCAGCAGCAATATAGGAAGATGCTGAAGGTAGGTTTTCTCCTCAGAGCTGCTCAGAGCATCCAGTAGTGGGAGGTGCTTCAGTCTCTGCACTCATAGGCTGAGCTTGAATTGAGGAATGCTCCTCCTCCTCCATGTGACTCTTCCATAGCGTTTCCCAGTTTATGCTCAGCCTCGTGCGAGACAGGCAGTGCATTGACGAGCTCCTTGGTCGAATCAGGAATTCTCTGTTCAGTTTCAATTTTGTTCGTTTACAGGTTGGATTTGTTCTCTATTTCTCTTATCCCTGTGCAATTGTTTAATCCGGACTTCTATTTACCCCAGGGAAGCGCTTTTTGCACCCCCAGAAGGCGGCACAGGAGAGGGCTATCAGTGCATTCGCACTACCTCCCATAGCCAAAACTCTTTACCCTGCCATTTCTCCCTTGCCACTTCGTTTCCCTTCATTTTCCTTGCCAGCAGCTTCATTTTCCTTCGTTACAGTCATTCTGTTTATTACGCCCCCGCCGAACGTCGTTTTAGCAGGGAAGAGCCCATCTCTCCCTTCCTGCCCCTCTTACTGTTTTAAGCCTTAGTTTTGTCCTGGGGGGGGCAAATCCTCTGCTGAGAAGCCCGAAAATCCCTCGCATTGTAGGCGGCCGCCATTTTGGGCGCCTCCTTGTGGCCGGGCGCCATTTTGTTTCTTAATATCTTGCTGTGGTGTAGATTTAGCTCAATGATACAGGACCCGTAGGCCTGTTTCAGAGCTGTTTCGCCTCATCTTGCCATACTTAGCACTCGAGGCTCTCCTATCTATTTCAAGAGTTGTTGGCTTATCCCACAGCTCCTACTCAGCGGCGCAGTAGCAGCAGCAACACACCCGCCCAGTTCCGCCTGGGAAGGAGCTGCTGGAAGCCCTAGTTCATTTTCTCATTTGGCCTCAGGCATTCATATTTGGCTGATTGGAATACCTGCTTAATTTATTTTTATTGGCATCAAACTCTGTTATTTTTGGAGCAAGGATCCAATTGGATATTACCAGAATAACGATTTTACCTCTCTCCTGAGCAGTACAATACCTTTATTATCATAGTAATATAACTGCAGTACGACTCAGTTTTTTTCATATTGATATACATATACATATACATGCATGCATGCATGCATGCATGCATGCATGCATGCATACATACATACATACATACATACATATATATATATATATATATATTAATTAAAAAAAGAGAAAGAACCAAGGGGGACGTGAAATAATTATCAGGGCACCTGGCCTTGTTGCAGGTCGGTCCCTGGGTGTGCCAACCGCCTCAAATCGACTCTTATCATATCCTGCAATTAACTTATTACTTATTGAAATGGCAGGTGGTAATTCTTCCAGAGGACCTTCTTTGAAGGCCAAGGCCAAAACCCATCATTTGCACAGGCAGGCTAAGGAGACCTCCAAAGCCTCCCAGAGG